GACTCATTCACCATTGATCCCAGTGCACGTTGACTCAACCTGATTTTGTCAGGCAATTTGGTGCTTCACACGAAAATTTTAATTGCATACATCCTTAAACCGAGAAATATCACTTTAGGAAACCCATTCAATAAAAACACTTACTAGGTAGTCAAAGATACATGAAAAGGTTAACCATCACAACATTACTTGTAAGAATAAAAAAGTCTGGGGAGGCTGAGGCAGGTGGGAGGCTGAGGTCAGGAGTTCAAAACCATCCTGGCCAACATAGTGAAATGATGTCTCTACTAAAAATACAAAAATTAGCTGAGCTTGACCGCACACATCTGTAGTCTCAGCTACTCGGGAGGCTAAGACAAAATTACTTGAACCTGCAAGGTGGAGTTTGCAGTGAGCCGAGATCACGCCACTGTACTGAATCCTGCGCAACAGAGCGAGATTCAGTCTCAAAACAGCAACAACAACAACAACAAAAAACAATAAAAAATTGGAAATAGCAGAAATACTCATCAAGGAAAGATTAACTAAGTTAATTGTGGGATTGTGGTGCATCCATACAATGAAAGACTATGTAGCTATTAAAAAGGAGGTTGGGCAGGGAGAAGTGGCTCCCGCCTGTAATCCCAGCACTTTGGGAGGCCGAGGCAGGAGGATCACAAGGCCAAGAGATCGAGACCATCCTGGCCAACATGGTAAAACCCCGTCTCTACCAAAAATACAAAAATTAGCTGGGAGTGGTGGCGTACTCCTGCAGTCCCAGCTACTCGGGAGGCTGAGGTGGGAGAATCATTTCAACCCGGGAGGTGGAGGTTGCAGTGAACCAGGGTGGCACCACTGAACTCCACCCTAGTGACAGAGCGAGACTCCATCTCAAAAGAAAAAGGAGGTAAACCTGTATGTCTGGAAGTCAGAAGTCCACAAAATATAGTTAAATGAAAAAGCAGGCCAGGTGCGGTGGCTCACGCCTATAATCCCAGCACTTTGGGAGGCTGAGGCGGGTGGATCACGAGGTCAAGAGATCAAGACCATCCTGGTCAACACGGTGAAACCCCGTCTCTACTAAAAATACAAAAAATTAGCTGGGCATGGTGGCGTGTGCCTGTAACCCCAGCTACTCAGGAGGCTGAGGCAGGAAAATTGCCTGAACCCAAGAGGCGGAGTTTGCGGTGAGCCAATATCGCGCCATTGCACTCCAGCCTGGGTAACAAGAGCGAAACTCCGTCTCAAAAAAAAAAAAAAGAAAAAGCAAGTGGCAAAATAGCCTAAATTTATGAGCCCAATTTTGGGGTCAACTTTATTGAGGTACAATTTAAATGTAATAAAATTCACCAATATAAAGTGCGCAATAAATGAGTTTTAGCAAATATTAATCACCACCACAATCATGAAATTGATAGAATGTTTCCATGACCCCCTAAAAATTACCTTGAAGGCTTTTGCAGTCATTCTACACCCCTACCCTCTGCCTCCTGGCAACCACTGATCTGCATTTTATAACTAAGATTTTTGACTTTTTTTTTTTTAGACTGAGTCTTTCTCTGTTGCCCAGGCTGGAGTGCAGTGGTGCGATCTCAGCTCACTGCAGCCTCTGCCTCCCGGGTTCAAGCAATTCTCCTGCCTCAGCCTCCTGAGTAGCTGAGATTACAGGTGCCGGCCACCACACCCAGCTAATTTTTGTATTTTTAGTAGAGACCGGGTTTCACCATGTTGGCCCAGCTGGTCTTGAACTCCTACCTCAGATGATCCACTCACTTTGTCCTCCCAAAGTGCTGGGATTGCAGGAGTGAGCCACTGAGCCTGGTCATAGATTTTTTTACTTTTTTAGCACTTCACGTAAATGGAATCATGTACTATATAGTCTTGAGTCTGACTCTTTTCAGTTATGAATCTTTTGAGATTCATTCATGTTTTACATATCAGCGGTTCATTCTTTTTTATTGCTGAGTAATATTTCATTGTGAGGTTTTACTACAATTTATATATTCATTTACCAGTTCTTGGGCATTTGGATTGATTCTAGTTTTTGTTGTTGTTGTTGTTTGAGATGGAGTCTAGCTCTATCGCCCAGGCTGAAGTGCAGCGACACCATCTCAGCTTACTATAACCTCTACCTCTGTGGTTCAAGCGATTCTCCTGCCTCAGCCTTTTGAGTGTCTGGGAGCAGGTGCCTACCACCATGCCTGGCTAATTTTTGTATTTTTAGTAGAGATGGGGTTTCACTGTTTTGGCCAGTCTGGTCTCAAACTCCTCACCTCGTGATCCGCCCACCTCAGCCTCCCAAAGTTCTGGGATTACAAGCGTGAGCCACCATGCCCAGGCCCCAGCTTTTAATGAATATGAAAAAAATCACTATAAACATTTCTATACAGATTTATTTAAACTTTCTATTTTGAGATAATTGTATATTCACATTTTAAGAAATAATACAGAAATTGTTTCCTTACATAAGGAGAAAAAAAAGAGAGCCCTTGATCCAGCTTCCCCCAGTGGTAACACCTTGTAAAAGCATAGTAAAATATCACAACCAGGATATTCACATTGATGAAGTCAAGATACAGACAGTTCCATCATCACAGGGACCCCTCATATCGCCCTTTTATAGCCACGCTCACCTCTTTCCTCCTCCCCAGCACCTGGCAACTACTAATCTCTTTTCCATAATTTTGTCATTTGAAGAGTATAATATAGATAAATGTAAGCCTACAATACACAATTTGTAAGGATTGGCTATTTTCACTCAGCCTAATTCCCTGGAGATTCATTATATATATATATATCTCAACAGCTTGCTCCTTTTTATTGTTGAGTAGTGTTCTGTGGTATGGATATACTATGGCTTGCTTAACCATTTACATCTAGAAAGCTTCTGGTTTTTGGCTGTTATGACTATAGTCACTGTGAACATTTGTGTGAATGTAAGCTTTCTTTTTTCTGAGACAAATGCCCAGGAGAGCAGTTGCTGGGTTGTATGGTAGTGTCATGCACAGTTTTATTTTAAAAAACTGCTAAACTGTTTCCCAGTGTGGTTGTATCATTTCACATTCCGACCAGCAATCTGACTGGCCCAGTTTCTCTACATCTTTCCCCGCGTTTGGTTTTGTCATTATTTTTCATTTTAGCCATTCTGCTAGGCTAAAATAAAAATTTTTTTTAACTTTTTTTTTTTTTTAGTAGAAAAAGGGTTTCACCATGTTGGCCAGGCTGGTCTTGAACTCCTGACTTCAAGTGATCTGCCTGCTTCAGCCTCCCAAAGTGCTGGATTCCAGGCGTGAGCCACCATGGCCTAAAATAAAAGATATTATTATGCTAGGTGCAAAATATTTCACCGTGGTTTTATTTTGTATTTCTCTAATGGCTAATGAGGTTGAACTTTTTTCATGGGCTTGTCTGCCATCTGCATCGCCTCTTCACGAAATGACTGTTCATGTCTTTTACCCATTTTCTAATTGGATTCTTTTTACAAGTTTGTAAGTTTGCAAGTTTGGGGGTTTCCTAAAGCCACCCTTGGGTTTGGTGCTTTGCTAGAACGACTATCCAAGTGATCCTGGTGCCTCAGCCTCCCAAAGTGCTAGAATTACAGGCATGAGGCACTGCATCCGGCCAATAATTCTTTATATATTCTGTATACAAATACTTTGACAGATACATATTTTGCCCATATTTTACCCCAGACTGGCCTTTTCATTTTCTTAACAGTATTATTTGAAGAGCAAATTTAAAAAAAATATTTGAAGCCCTACTCATCATTTTCCCTGCTTTTTGTGGTCTATTTAATATATGCCCAACCCAAAGTCACAAAGATGTTCTTCTGTATTTTATTCTAGAAATGTTCTGGTTCTAGTTCTTACGTTCAGGTCGATTTTCATTTCAAGTCAATTTTTGCAGATAGTATGAGGTAAGAGTTGAGGTTCATTTGTTTTTGGTTTTTATTTATTTATTCCCCCCACCCCGCCCCCAGGCTCATTTATTTACATGTGGATATCAATTATTACAGTATGACAGGTGGAAAAGAGTCCATTTTCTCAATGAATTGCCTTGGCATCTGTAAGGAGTTACCCAAACCACATAGTCAGAGGGAACAATCTGTGTAAGATTGCCCTGAATTCAGACAACAACTGCAAAAACCACTCTCAGATTTGGTACTTTGCTAGAATGACTCACAGAGCTCAGGAAAGTGCTATGTGTACAATTACAGCTTTATTATAGCAACGGGATATAAATTAGAACCGAACAAAGGAAGAGACTCATAGGGTGTGGTCCAGGAGGGTTGTAAACACGAAACTTTCACTGTCTTCAGGAATGTGTTCTACCAGCATTGATGTGTGATAATTTGCTCAGAGTATTCTCAACCAGGGAAACTTACCTGAACTCTGGTGTCCAGAGATTTTATTGAGGTTTTCTTACAGGCATGATTGGTTGACCCCATGTGGTTGTACTCAATCTCCTGCCCCCTCCTCCCTAGAGGTTGAGCTGATGCTATATGTCCCACAGCCCCAGCCCTCTTATCAGAGGGTTGGTCTTCCTGCCATGGCCACCCCCCACCCTGAGTCACGTTATAGCATAAAATACCAGATGTAGTTCCAAGGGCCCATCAAATAACAAAGACACCCTTGGCCGGGTGCAGAGCCTCATGCCTGTAATCCCAGTACTTTAGGAGACCGAGGCGGGTGGATCACGAGGTCAAGAGATTGAGACCACCCTGGCCAATGTGGTGAAGCCCCGTCTCTATAAAAATTGGAAAAAAAAAAAAAAAAAAGACACCCTTAACACTCAGGAAATTCCAAGAGTGTAGAAAGAGCTGGGAAAAAAGGCCAGACTTCTTTGTAGGGGGAGACATTTTTCACTATGTAGCATCTTTGTCAAAAGCAGATATAAAATGTGGTTCATATGTCCAGGTTTAGGTTATATATGTGTATGTATAGATCTATTTTTGGTCTCACTTTTGTTCCATAATCTAGTAGATGGAATTTTCTGTGTAAAGAATTCTATAATGATTTTTTTAAAATATGGAATGCTTGCAAATTTGTATGTCATCCTTGCGCAGGAGCCATGCTAATGTTCTGTCTCATTTCAGTCTTATCATGCATGTTATTGAAATGAGCACTGTATAATTTTTAAACGACGGGCATACAATACTTCCATAGAAAGGAAAACATGATAAAAAGATAAGGAAAAATTATTTGCTTAAGCAGAAAAAATAATTCTACATAATAGCTGAAATACAACCTTAGGGAAACTTCCCAGGAAATACAGCAAAAAGATAAAGAGATAGAAAGTAGAAGATAAAAGGTTAGGAAGTTAAGAGTACTAATTCAGGGGATCTTCAATCTGAATACCAGTGTTTCCAGAAAGAAAAAAGAAAAAAGAAGCGGCAAATCAATCAATGATGTAATTCAAGAACAGAAGGAACTGTGACATTTAAGAGTCAGTAAATAGCCAGCACTGTTTTGGGAAGTAAGAGATTTTATTGTCTCTAGAAATGAAAAAAAATGGCTATATACAAAGTTTAGGAACCAAAATGGATTTAGACTTCTCATCAGCAACACTAGAAGCCAAAATACAATGAAGCAATGCCTTTAAAATTCTGAAAGACGTAACTTCCAATCTGGAATTCTGTACCTAGCCATACAATCAACTGTAATCCCAGCATTTTGGGAGGCCGAGGTGGGTGGATCACTTGAGGCCAGGAGTTCAAGACCAGCTTGGCCAACATGGTGAAACCCCATCTCTTAAAAAAAAAAGAAAGAAAAAAGAAAAAAATATTTTCAAGTATGTAAGCTTCCAAAAATTTTATCTATCATGCACCCCTTCTCTATAAGCTACTGGAGAAGATATTCCACCCAAAGACAAAGTTGCTGGGTCTGTCCCGCAGACCCTGTCCGTTCGAAATGAGTAGACACAGGTATGCAGTGTAAGAGCAGCTAGGGGACTGCCTGGCTCTAGTGGCAAAAGTGCAGCAGCCCAAGGAAGCTGGAGCTGCTGGCTTTTATTCAGTGCACACATAATGCTGAAAGTTTGGAGCCAACACAAACTGTAGGTAATTAACATTTATTGTTCCCTTTCAGGGAACAGTCAACCAGCACAGATGATCAAAGGTCAGTTCCTGGTCAACTTAAGTAAACAAGCCTGTTAAAGATAAATTCCCCTATACTCCCTTTTTTTTTTTTTCTTGTAGCCCTATACTCCCTTGTACCTAATCCTTGCCCTTTGTCTCAGGGTTATATAGAACAGCTGCCTTCAGCTATTCTCCCCCGAAGCCTTGCAGAGCCTCTGACCTTTCAGAAGGCCTACTGCTTTCCCTACGGTTTCTCTCACCACTCTGACCAATCTCCTACATCTCCCCTTTTCTGTTTTTTGCATCACGTTTTGTTGATTGAAGCATACAAATGTGTGCAGCAAAGGATTGACAGGCGCAGCAGTCACAGCTTGTGTTCCGGCTTTGCATCCTGGAACGAGTAACATGGAAGACGGAGGCCCAGGCATCTCAGATCAATTTCCCCTTCTCATTCCTAAAACTGTAAACGGAAACCCTTTTCATAGGTAATTCCTGAGACTGTAAACTGAGACCCTTTTCATATGTTAAGCTGTAAACCTAAGGTTCTTCCATGTGTAACATCTAAAGTATATGCCTATATATAAAGACGGAAGCTTCCTTTGTTAGGGGAGCTTGGCTGTTAGGCAACTATGTCACCTTGCTCCCGGCCGAATCAACCTTCCTCCTGTATTCGGTGTCCGAGACCTCCGTTTCCCGCGGCCACTCCTGCTACAACATAAGACAAACATGAGTATAATCAGTATTATTCTTTTCCAATCAAGGAGTAATATGTAGTGTTATCAGCACCTCAGTCCGTTATGTGCCATTACTGAGGGACCCCACCAGGGATATGTCAATCCCTTCTAGTCAGTCACATTGTTAGAGGCTAGGAAGGGGGTGTCTGCCCAAGTAACAAGGTGGAAAAGAGGCAGATCTAGAAGATGGGCCCAATAGAGTCTAATAGGTACAGGTAGCAGGCAAAGTGAAAGAATAAAAATGGTTAACACCCTATGAGAGTTGCAATAGAATGTATAGCAAGGCCACATTATCTGGAGTGAATGGCGTCTGCGTCTGGAGAAGGATTCACTCGGCCTCCTGAGCTGTGGGTCCTGCAGGGTCATTTTCTTCATTTCTTGTACTGGGTTGGGTCCTGGCCATGGGAAGCTTTGATGCATCGTACTGGACTCCAAAGAGGACCTGAAGGGGTGTGAACACAAGCGTATCCTCTTCCCCATGTTACCAAATCATTTGGACCACACCATATATTACTATTTACATCTTTCCATAAAACTGTGCATTCTAGATCCTGGGAGGTTTTAGCAAAGTGCTTTTCTATAGCTGATTAAAATTGATCATCTAAGTTTAAGAAATTAAGGGTCAATAAGGCTTGTGCCAATAGTGTTGCAGGGTCCTTACTCATATTCCCCCTTTTTTGTTTTCTGAGCCTATTTTTAAGGATGGAGTGGGCGCTTTCTACCATGGCCTGTCCTTTGCGGTTGTATGGGATACTCGTAACATGTCGGGCATTCCATGTGTGACAAAATTGGTGAAATTGTGAGCTAGTGTAAGCCAGGCCATTATCAGTTTTAATTTTTGTGGGCCACCCCATACATGCAAAAGTTAAGAGAAGATGTTTCATGACATATCAGGCAGACTCTCCAGGAAGAGCATGTACTCTCATTAGGTGGGAATAGGTATCAACAGATACATGTACATATTTTAGTTTTCCAAATTCAGGGACGTGCATGATCTGTTTGCCATAACTGATTAGGTTCCAGTCCTCTAGAATTAACACCTGTTGAAGGAGGGGACATGCCTGAATTTGAAAATCAAGGAGGAGAGTCTAAAATAGGAAAGAACAAGGAGATTCCCTGGAGAGGATAGTAAGGGGAAACGCCGTGATAACAGCTGTGTACAAGGCATGAAGAACAACCATTTCCATTTGGAAAAGTGTGACTCAAGAAACAGGTTGGGATCTATCACCACCCATAACTCCTCACTGATAGAATATCTTCTTCAAACTTGAGGACAGTTTATCCATATTTGTCACAGCTTCATCAAGTACTACGGAAATTCCCACTCACCTCTCTATATTCTGCTGGTAGAATCAGCTGAGCATACTCATTTCATAAAACGCCCCCATTTCTGAAGTGTTGTGCTTTGACCTATTCTTGAGAGCCGAACCTAGGCTACCGTTAGCTTAAAAGCAGAAAATACAAAACATCCTTCCCCCTCTGACCCTATTTCTTTTGTTTGGGGGGCGATGGAGTCTTGCTCTCGCCAGGCTGGAATGCAGTGGCTTGCATGCCACCATGCCCAGCTAATTTTTGTATTTTTAGTAAAGACAGGGTTTCACCATGTGGGCCAGAATGATCTTGAACTCCTGACCTCGTGATCTGCCTACCTCCGCCTCCCAAAGTGCTGGGATAACAGGTGTGAGCCACCATGCCCGGCCCCCCTCTGACCCTATTTCTACAGGGTCTTCAGTGCCTGGCCCATACTGCGGAGTTGCCAGATGCCCAGACACAGATGAACCCTCATAGTTAGAGATGTATCCACCTGAAACTAATGAAAAAGAAGGCCCTTATTCATATATGCCCTTCCTAAGGCCCTGAACCTATATTTGTAATTTTGAACTTATAATTTCAGTGAAGGGTCCTCCAAATTATATAATCTTCAGACCCCACAAATCCTAGATCTGCCCCTGTGTGTGTGTGATTGTTTTTTTCTTTTTTTGGTTTTCCTCCCCTCCAGTTAGGAAGATACATGTGGTTTTTGTTCATTGGTTTGTTTTCTTGTTTTGTTTTTGAGACAGAGTTTTGCTCTTGTTGGCCAAGCTGGAGTGCAATGGCACAATCTCAGCTCACTGCAACCTCTACCTCCTGGGTTCAAGAGATTCTCCTGCCTCAGCCTTCCAAGTAGCTGGGATTACAAGTGCGTGCGACCACGCCTGGCTAATTTTTGTATTTTTAATAGAAACAGGTTTTAATTAATGTTGCCCAGGCTGGAGTGCAGTGGCTATTCACAGGCGCGATCCCACTACTGATCAGCACGGGAGTTTTAACCTGCTCCATTTCTGACCTAGGCTGGTTCACCTCTCCTTAGGCAACCTGGTGGTTCCCTACTCCTGGAAGCTCACTATATTGATGCCGAGCTTAGTGTGGACACCCAATTGGCATAGTGCACTACAGCCCAGAACTCCTGGGCTCAAGCGATCCTCTCACCTCAGCCTCCTGAGTAGCCTTGTGCCACGTGCCACCATGCCCGGGAGAAACGGGGTTTTACCATATTAGCCAGGCTGGTCTTGAACTCCTGACTTCAGGAGATCCACCCACCAAGGCCTCTGAAAGTGCTGGGCTTATAGGCGTGAGCCACTGCACCTGGCCTTGTTTTTGTTTTGATATGAAGTCTCGCTATGTTGCCCAGGCTGGACCAGAACTCTGTGCTCACATGATCCTCCCATCTCAGCCTCCTGAATAGTGAGGTCTACAGGCGCATGCTACCATGCCTTGCTCTTTGATCATGATTTTGTCCTCTGACTTCTCCAGAAGAGGCTTTTAAAGACTCAGGAAGGTTGAAATTATACTATAACCCAGCAACTCTATTCAGCTTGTTTACCATAACCCAGCAACCCTATTCAGCTTGTTTTCCCAGGAAATCTCAGGTAATACTGGCAATAGTGCTCTTTCCTTACACAGCTAGGTTTGTGCTAGCCACTCAGCTATTCAAATCTAAGCAGTAGATTGTTTAGGGATGTGTCATATCGGGGCAAAACTATAAAGCAAACAGTAACAATTAAAAGTAGCACAGTGGTTACCTGGGGAGAAGGTGGTAGTCAGGGAAAGCTGAGACTGCAGGGAGGTACACAGCTGAGCTTCAAGGTACTAGTGGGTGATAGGTGTTTGTCTTATTATTATTTTATTATTTTGAAAGAGGGTCTTGTTCTATTGCCCAGGCTGCAGTGCAGTGGTGTGATCATGGTTCACTGCAGCCTCTTCCTGCCTCAGCCTCCTGAGTAGCTAGGACTACAGGTGTGTGTCATTATATTCTGCTAGTTTTATTTTATGGTT